AAACGTTTCCTGCCTTCAGACAGGTACCCTCTTTACAACGTCAGGATGCCGTGTCCGCTTTTTATCCTCAGCCTCCAGTCAGTGGTGAGTTCAGACACTTTTCCCTAATGAACGGGCTGGTGTTGAAGTCGCAGATTGCGCTGGCTGCCAGGTTGTGCTGTGTCTGGCAAGTTGCTTCCAAATGCCTGAAAAAGACGAAAAACTAGAAGAAACCAATCTTCTTTCAGGCTGCTAATACGAAGCATGAAAATTAGCAGAAATGAAGCTTTTAATCTCACTTTACATGTAAAGATGTTTTCCAAATTCGGTATCAGAAAACTCAACCAAAAACCACACTGTAGATATTCCATTTAGAATTTGGTTTTGGTATAGCTAAAATACCGAAAAATACAAGGCAGTAAAATATAAGAAGTAGAACTGTGTCATGACTGGAGACAAGAAGCCACACCTGCATCCAAGTAGCAATGGGAAAGCATCTGTGCTTGCGTTCAGTCCACAGATCATTCCAGGAGCGATCCGTGACAGAGTATCACAGCAGCTCCTGCTTACGTTTGAACCAAGTTACTAGAGTTACAATCAGTTTTTCTTCATCTAAAATATCAAAAAAGCAGCCAGAGAGCCTGATAATACCTACTTTTTATCTACTATTTTGCCCATTTCAGATAGTATTACTGGTCTAGGTAACACTCTTACTGTATGATGTCCCCGTGTGCCCACTTCACAGTGGCAACTACCAGGTGAAGCCTCAAAACAGTTTTTAGCGACCTAGTGTTCTGAGATTTTTGCTGCCCTGAATTATATGGGGTGTTAGAAGAAATGTTTTGTTTATTAAGCAGCGAGTATGACAGGTAGGAGAGACCAACAGCTCCTGGAAATCAAGGACGTTCATGTACTCCCTTTTTTTTTTAAGGACATTATAATGCCTTATAGATGTTACAGAAAATCTACAGTATATGTAAAGGTAGAAATAGAATTTCTGTACCTAATCAGGGACATTTAAAGATAAACATATGTATTCCATAGCTTGCATTGCAGACTTTTATGGTGTAGATCTTCTGCTGAAAGGTTATGATTACGCATGCCAGCAGATAGGATTGCAAGGCAGAACTCAGGAGCCACAACTTTATAAAGCAAAGACCTTGCAAAGGCCTCAAGCTCTCTCCTGCTCATGATGGAAGGTTTCCTTTAGGAAGATTTTTTATTGCAGCGCTGGTGGCTGCTACGCCACGTTCCCCCATCGACAAGAGCATACAGGTTTTTGTAAGGTGAAAGATCATACAAATGGCTCACCCTTAAATCGCTGCGTTGCTGTAGGGTGAAGGGCAGAGCTGATGGCGGAGCTGTGCTGTGCATGCCTTGTTCCTGGGTCAGAGCTGTTACGAGGCTTTCCTTTCTTCCACTGTCGTCCTGAGTTGACGACGGTTATCATCTAACTTTTTTCCTTTCCACGCTTTCCTGAGTCCATACTCAGGGCTCTACAGCAAAGAGGAGTCTACTCAGGATGAGGTGAATTACTTAGACTCAGTAAAGACTGATCTGAATGTTTAATTTTTCTTCCATTTATTACATCAGTAGACTTTGATCCATTTTTTTACCTCTTCATTTCCTGGCTCTGTCCAGAGTTTGAATGGTGTGAAAGCTGTGAAGTAAACGATTCACTAAGTTTAAACTTGAAGTAAACAATTCACTTGCTTAAAATACTCAGTGAGACCTACACATCCTGAGATATCTGTATTCTGCCAGAGTTTCAGTGAGCTGTGCAAAGCCCCATCCCCTGCAAACCAAAACAAATCAAGGAAGGCCCTGCGTGCAGCATACTTGTATGAAACGAATATCTAAAGCCTTCACAAATATCTCTTTTTCTCTCCCTCATTACTGTTGTTTTTAAGCGGCTGTCAGGATTTGCTGCAGATGGGAAAATAGCTTTTCTTCACCCCCTCACCCTCTGTCGCCAAATATGTAATTATCAGAAGAAGCAGTTCCTGTAAAATGCGTTTTCCAATAAGAGCACACACTTTGTGAATAGTGTTATTACAATTTCATTTGATAAAAACAGTAAAGCATGCATAATTTCAAACGAGAGAAGTCCTGCTGACCGCAATAACACATACATTTGCTGGCTGAAATCGTAACATCACTTGAGATAGGCACAAAAGGAAAATTCCCCATAATTCAGGTGTTATGAGAGCAGATCTTGTTTCTAGAGACGCACTGGAAGGCATAAGCAATCCCTCAGTCACCAGTTGGTTTAGCTGCTAAAAAGCATGCATACTCATACCTAACGAATAAACTACACAGTGCCTGCAGCAAGAACGAGTTGGACTTGATGATGCAGGAGCTGTGTTCTGATCTGTGTTAGACACACTGCAAAAGATACATAGCAGCATTAATCCCTTTTGCACAATATTTTTCTCTGCAGAAAATGCTAGTAATTGCCTCTGAAGTGTCAGTGTAGCACGCTGTGCTCAACAACTTCAGCTGCTTGTTCTGGCCGTGTGTTCCTGCCAGCACAGCGAGTTCAGGGGCAGCAGATGGGGATAGTGACATTTCTAATGGGAAGAGATGGGGAGGGAGGGAAGAGGGGGACAGCTCCTGCCTGCAGAGCTTGGGGGAGAGAGGACAGGAGAAAGGAAATCTGGAAACTCTCTTTGCTTGTGTTAGAAATGACTGGACTTTGGAAATCCCACAAAATAGTCACTGGGCACATGTTCTTGTCTTGTGGATCCCAGGCACAGGGGCCTGGCTGCGTGGATGCTGTAGATGGGTATGTCCATAACCTCTTTTCTTCAAGATACATTTTACTACTGTCAAAGAGAGAACTTATATAAATGTGTATTAAAAATATATTTATATATATATACATATATAATTATATATGTGTATATATATGTATATATGTATTTGGCCAGATAATTTGACAGTCTCCCAAAACTTCTGTCTGCAAAAACCCCTGTTTTTCTCTTGGGCTTTAGCCTAAGCAGCTGCCTTATCTAAAGGTGTTGTGCTTTTAAATTTAAATTTCTTACTAACATAATTTCTTACTGACATAACTAAGAAAGCAAAACCCTTAATATCAAATCTAATTCTTTGCTCACTGGAGGAAACTTTCACTCATTCTGAGTATTAAGGTCCCTGTCTGCCTGTTTTCCTGCCATGCACAAAACTTTCAAATACTACAGCATAAAATGATAATAATTTCTCAAATTGTAACTTCTGGTAACTGGGCATATCCTTTGTGTTTTTTGTTCGCCAAGAGTTTTGTCATCTCTCCTGAAGAAGTGCCTCCTGATTGTAAAGTTGGATTAATTCTAACATACATTCTGTTTAGCCAGATTTGATTTACAAATTTCACTGTATTGCCTATAATTTTTGTACTTTTAATATAGTAGTGATGTTTAACAATTTTAATAGTACAAATTTAAACAAACAAACAAGACAATCCTACAATATTTAGAGATAAATACAGAAAAGCAAAACTCTAGCATTAGTCCTCTGAGAGCAGTAGAATAAAAAAATCTGCCCTTCACTTATGAGGTGCATAAAGGAGGAGATAAACTAAATGTAGTGCATGCAAGAGTGAGCTGTTGTTTGCTTTAACCCTAAATTAACTGTGTCTTATAATGACTTGACTTTATTTTGTATCTGAATATCAGCTGATCAGACTGGTAGTTATCTTTTGTAATCATACATCGCACTGAAGTAATCTTCCCTATGTCTGTGGACATTGCATGTAAAGGAATTTTCCTTAAATCTTTAAAGCATTAAAGATGTTTTAATAGCATAGATAGAACAACAAAATTCATTAATGGAAGTTTCATATATGACTGTCAGAAAAACAGTCAGCAGTAATATGCCTTTCTGGTTCCTCAAGCTACCTTTCAGTGACTTGGACTACTGGAGATACAGTTTGTCTAACATGTAAAAGTTTTGGCAATTTTAATATTCTAATTATGAAGGAAAGAGGTTCCTAATAAAAAAATCTAAAGAAATTGCTTACCTAGGAAAATGCAAAATA